AAACAATGAGAAATTTTCCAATTGAATATCAAAATTTTATTCTGAAATTAAGTTTTTAAACATAACTAATATTCAAAATGTAAAATTTTTTATTAAAAATGTTTGCAATCTTTTAATGTAAAACTTAGCAGAATTGCATTCTATCCTAAGATTGGCTCTGGTTAAATCCTTCCTTTGGTCAACATTTATTGAGCCCTTACAATCAGCAGGGCCCTCAGAACTGAACAAGATACATACTTGCCCCTCCATGATGTCAGAATGGAATGGGGAAAGGACACTTTCACTGATAATGACACAATGTATTAGTTTCATAATAGAGACACCATCCATTTGTAAGGCTTTCCCCTGATAATTATGAATCTACTCCCTTTCTTTGCCCCTGATTCTATTATATTCACCAGTTTATTCTGTTCCTCAGATTTTAAGTCACTTGATCTTCTTCCTCTTCTTAAATAATACCTTTCAGCATTTCATATAATACTGGTTTGGTGGTAATGAACTCCTTTAACTTTTTCTTATCTGTGAAGCTCTTTATCTGACCTTCAATTCTGAATGATAACTTTACTGGACACAGTAATCTTGGTTGTAGGTTCTCTCTATTCTTCACTTTGAATATTTCTTGCCACTCCCTTCTGGCCTGCATAGTTTCTGTTGAGAAATCAGCTGATAGTCATATGGGTGCTCCCTTATAGGTAACCAACTGCTTTTCTCTTGCTACTTGTAAGATTTTCTTTTTGTCTTTTGCCTTTGGCATTTTAATTATGATGTGTCTTGGTGTGGTCCTCTTTGGATTCCTCTTGTTTGGGGTTCTGTATGCTTCCTATACTTGTAAGTCTATTTCTTTCACCAGGTGGGGGAAGTTTTCCGATATTATTTCTTCAAATATGTTTTCAGTATCTTGCTCCCCTTAGTTTCAGCCTGACCGTCCCAGATTCAAAAGCGTGGGTGCCCCAGGGGCTCACTCGAAATTGGGATGGGTCTCCGTAGTCTGAAGCTTCTGACTTCTTCCGCTATGGAGAGGCAGTGGCAACCTCCTTGGTCAGACCTCTGTGCATACTCACTCGCGTGCTACTGTATACCCTGCCCACTGTGGCTCCCTGCTCCCCCTGCCTCCCAGTCTCTGAGTCTCTGGGTGCATTTCTCTACAGTCCGGACTCCACCATATGAGCCTGGGTCCACGAGATTTCGGCCAGGGTTGGGGTTCAGTACTGTCCGAAAGTGCAATCAGGAATTCCTTTGCCCTCTCACCAGCTGGGCATTCAGCCGCACTTCCTCTCTGAGCGTGAGCGTCTCCTTACCTCAGTGGTTTGTGGCTTCCAATCTGATCCATGAGTCTCTCTCCTTCTTTCTAGTTGTAGATTTCTCACTCCACCAGCTTTCCTGTGTTTTTGGATGAAGTCCGTTCTGATTTTAGTTGTTATTTTTGAAATTGTTATGCGAGGCAGCAGCTTAGGTGCTTACCTAGGCCGCCATCTTGGTTCTCTCCCTCACCATTTATGTTTCTATCTTTCCCTTCCTCTCTGAAATCAATAAAACAAAAATATTTTTAAGAATACAGTGAATGGGTGAGGAAATCCAAGATGGTGGCATAGGTAAACACATATACTTGTTGCCTCTCACAACCACATCAAAACCACAACTAAACGACAGAATAACTAGTAACTGTAGCAAAGCTGGGTGAGTGGAAGTTCCACAACTAGAGAGGCAAAGAAAACACATTGAGACTGGTAAGAGAAGCGGAGGAGTGGAAAGTGCTGGTACCTGGATGTGCTGCTCTTTTAATCAGGAAGGAGATACAAGCGCCTGGTTGCTCTGAACTCCAGGCACATACAGGGAGAAACAGGACTGTCTGGCATCAGGACAGGAATGTGAGGGCGGCTTTCTCTTAGAGGGGCCCACAGTGATCATTGTTCCTGCGCGGGGGCGTAGGACACAGAGAACCAGACTTCTCAGGTTCAGGGCTGATTGGCAGCAATTGCTATTTGCTCCACCCTGGTGATTCCCAGAGAATCTGCCCCACCCAATTTTCTACTCCACCCAAGCTGTGTGCATCGGCTTTTGCATGTGAATGGCCTGTTCTTTAGCCTAAAACAAACTGCAGCTGGGTCAGAGAGCCCTAGAGCTTCCAAAAGAAGGTCCAAAGCCCTTGTTTCACAGTTGGGCATCATCTGGGCACTTCTAAACCCCATAGAAAGAGGAGGAATCTGAAGATGTCTCCAGCTGTGGGGGCCCAGACAGTGGCTGACCTTGCATCTCCTTGGAGATCCAAGAGCCAGCGGACCCAGTGGTCACAGTGAGACCATACCGGATTACAACTCTTCACATCCATAAGAGACACACTCAAGAGGCAGACTCAGTGAGCATCAAAGCCCCACTAAAGCAAGTCCTGCCCCATAAGTGTGTCTCCTGCACAGCAGCTCTTGCACTGTAGACACAGATGATCATTACAGCCAATTGGCCTAGAGGTCAATTTCCCCCTCTGATACCAATAGCAACCAAGGATTAACTACAAGACTGTGCAAACAGCTCACAAAGGGGTGCACCAAGAGTGTCCACCTCAGGTGACTGGGGAGGCCGACCCACTGGGCCCTATAGGACACCTAACACAAACAGCCACTTTATCAACATAGGGAAGCAGCCAAAATGCAGAGACAAAGAAACATGTCACAAATGAAAGAAATGGAGGCAAACTACTGGATATAGAGTTCAAAACCATGGTTATAAAGTTTTTCTAGAAAGCTCTGAGAAACTTAGTGAGACCTTCAAAGATCTTAATGAGAATGCCTCCTCTCTCCTCTCCCCCTGCCAAAAAAAAAAAAAAAAAAAAAAGGAAAAGGACCAGTCAGAAATTAAGCATACACTGACTAAAATAAAGAATAATATACAGAAATTCAATAGTAGACTAGAGGATCTCAAGATTCAAGTCAAAGATTTGAAATAACAAAGAAGCAAAAAACACCCAACTGGAAGAACAAAAAAAAAAATCCAAAAATATGAAAATAGTATAAGGAGCCTCTGGGACAACTTCAAGCATACCAGCATATGAATTATGATGGTTCCAGTAGAAGAGAGAGAGCAGGATATTGAAGGCATATTGAAAGAAATAGTGACAGAAAACTTTCCCTATCTGGTGAAAGAAATAGACTTACAAGTATAGGAAGTACAGAGAACCCCAAACAAAAGGAATCCAAAGAGGACCACACCAAGACACATCATAATTAAAATGCCAAGGGCAAAAAGACAGAGAGAATCTTAAAAGCAGCAAGAGAAAAACAGTCAGTTACTTACTATGACTGTCAGTTGATAACTTAATCGAAACTATGCAGGCCAGAAGGGAGTGGCAAGAAATATTCAAAGTCATGAATGGCAAGAACCAACAACCAAGATTACTCTACTCAGCAAAGCTATTATTTAGAATTGAAGGTCAGATAAAGAGCTTCACAGATAAGAAAAAGCTAAAGGAATTCATCACCACCAAACCAGTATTATCTGAAATGCTGAAAGGTATTATTGAAGAAAAAGGTAAAGTTAAAAAATTATGAACAACGAAGTGACAACAAATATATGTCTATCAACAAGTGAATCTAAAAGTCAAGTGAGCCGAGACCAGTTTGGCTAAATGGATAGAGCATCGGCTTAGGGACTGAAAGTTCCTGGGTTCGATTCCGGTCAAGGGTATGTACCTTGGTTGCGGGCATATCCCCGGTGGGGGGCGTGAAGGAGGCAGCTGATCGATGACTCTCTCTCATTGATGTTTCTGACTCTCTATCTCTCTCCCTTCCTCTCTGTACAAAATCAATAAAATATATTTTAAAAATAAAAATAAATAAAAATAAAAGTCAAGTGAATAAAAAATCTGATGAATAAACTGATGAATATAATAGACTGAGGAAGTAGACTGATAATTCTTGCACGGGAGTGTTGAGAGTGCAGGAAGAGATTGGACAAAAATCTTACACCTATGGACAAGGAGAGTTGGGGATAAGGGTATGGGGTGGGGTAGGAACTGATGGAGGGGATGGGAAGGGGGGAGGAGAGGAATAACTGTAATAATCTGAAAAATAAGATTTATTTTTAAAAAAGACAATGAATGAAAAGTGTTTAGAATAACGTCCTGCACAGATTTGATAATGTTGTTATTTTATATGCTTTGTGCTCTCCTATAGATAATTAGCAACTCTCCAATGCTCTGTATCTTTGGATTGTCAGGCAATAATATATTAATTTAATAATGGGAATGGAAAATAAATATAATAAGAAAAGTAGAAACAGAAAAAAGGAAAAATGAATACTTCTAATCAGACTCAGCACTGCACAAGCTTGCCTCTTGCCTAGGTTGCTTACTCTCTCCCATGTAGTTAGACACACGGTGATCACACCGCCCTGGGTCAGATAGAGCCCTTCCAGAGAGTGCCAAATCTAAGGTTTACAGGCCACAAAAAGCTTAATTTGATGCTTTATGTGAACACTATTATTTACTTTTTAATTTAATATCTTTATTTAATGAGTAAATTTCTCCAGTTCAAATAGAAGAACAAGTGAAATAAACAACCTTCATAATATAATGTGTGGTTGTGATTGCAATGAAAAAACCTGGCATAGACATATATGTCATACAAAGAGGATAGAAGGTGGTGTTGTCTGAAAAGCTGGTAATTCAGAAATCGTTCCAAATAAGATGAGAAATTGATGGGAATGATCCATGAGAAAGGTTTATTTAAAAGGTTTCATGAAATGGAAAAAATAGTAAAATGTTTTATAAGTGCTTTTACATAAGCATATATAATTAATTAGTAAAAATCAGAAGAAAATCCCTCCTTTGCATTAGTACATTTTTATAGTCTTTACAATCCCCATCGGAGCCACTTCTACTGCTGATGTCCACTTCACATTTGCTGTACTGAGCCTCCTTCCACCAGGTGTATGAAGTGCTTGCTATAGAAGACTTCTCCTTATCACTACTCATTTTCTTTCTTTGGGTTTTCATCCTTTAATGCCTTTTATCTCTTTTTTTGGTCCACTGATTCTTCATTTTCTTCTGAGGAATCAGTTGAGTGATGTTCTAAATCCTTCCCACCTTTAACACCAACACCAATAATTAGACCAAAGATATATGATAAAAGACAAACAATGCAAATGTAAAAAACAGAAAAAAGAAGTACTATTAATAATAAAAGAAGCATGTTTAGTGATGAGTTCTTTTTGCTTTTCTGTGTATTCTCACCACCTTTGCCAAAACTACCACGAGCAACACTATAACTGTTCCCTTCATCCTCACTTGGATTTTCTTCCTCTGTTTTGCCAGGAGAACCACTGTCCACACTACCCCCACTTCCCGGGGTTCGGCAGTTGGGCGGTGCATAGCCAGCCTCACAGTGGCAGTGCCTTAAATTGTTACAGACTCCTCTCCCATTGCACATTTCTGCTGGTTTGCAGTCATACTTGAGCACCGTATGATCAGTGCAGGAGTAATCCATGCAGACTTTGTTTGGGGCACAAGCAGTGCCAGAGTGCACATCTCCCTCATCAGGGATATCAGTAATGTTATAGACATCCAAGCTCCAGCAGAAGTCACCTTCATAAGGAATCTGGATCAGTGTGCTATGGGGTTTGATGGATGGGACACGTCTAATATTTGTACATATAATTTTCCCACAAAATATATTATTATCAAAACACTTAACGTATCTTGGCATTGCCGAAGTGGGACGGCCACAGTTTCCAAACCGGTCCTCTTTGCTGTTTATTAAAATGTAACAGTTTTCTGGGGCAGACCGTGCATCATTCCCATACATAGCCATGCATTGATTATCAGGGTTTCTGCATTGACCCCCAATACAGATGTGCAGTCTATCGCACGGTGTACCATCTTGCTTATAGGTGTCTGTGGGGCACTCTGCAGAGCTGCCATCACAATACTCTGGGAGGTCACAGTCTCCTAAAGCAGAACGGCACACAAATCCCCTATTTCTCAATTGGCAACCAAAGCAGCAGAGTCCATCACTACATTCTGCACTCCCCTTCAGGCTACATGTTTGGTCACAGCACGGGTCAGTGTAACAGGCAGAACCACAGTCACACTGCTCCTCACCCTCCACCACACCATCTCCACAGTAGGAATCCCTACGCAAGCGGCCTTTGTGCCGCTGAGGGTTGTTAAATAGGCAGGCCCCTCTGTGATCCTGGAGGAACTGGTAGAAGTCGTCAGAGCTACAGTTGCTGAAGCCGCTTTCTTTAGAGATATTGTCACACATGAGGCAGAGGTGCTTGTCTTTACAAATGCAGGCTGAGTGGTCGTGCCCAATACCCAAGTTGTGCCCAAGCTCATGGACCATGAGCGCTGCAAACAGGAGGGCATCTTCATGAGGGAAGGATTCAACAGCTGCTGCAAAACCACGGGAACAGGCACCACTGAGAAATGCCTGTCCCATACCGTGCTCAGGATGCTGTCCGACAATCATGTGGGCAACATCATGCTTCACACGATGGAGGAGCTTCTCTTGTCTCCACTTGTTGAAATTCCCCAGTGTAACTTGCAGGTCCACGGGGACCTCTGTGAGGTCCCCCTCGGTCCAAATCTCTATCCCAGCCAGCACCACCTGTGTGTTTACTCCCCTAGTGAAGCTGTTGGCCAGGGCAATGATGTCCATCACTCTCTGGACCGTCTCATTGACGTTACTGCCCCACATTTGGAACTGCTGGTTGTTGACCACAACAAACATCTCCACGTACTTGGTGAGTGACCACAAGGAGGACAGCTCCTGTAGACCGCCAGGCTTCCTGCTCCCTTGTTGTCGGCTGGCGGACACCACTGGGCTGTCTTGGGAAGTGACACTGCAGGAGACTGGAGCTTGATGGGCCATGGTGTATAACACATGTTCAAACTGTTTTGAAGAGTCCATGGGCTCAATGCCATAGGATTTTCCCTCCTTAATCAGGATGCCCCTGAGGCCTGAACAGGTGTTGACAGAAACAAAAGAACTTGGTACTCCTTCTATGTAGCCTTCATAGTGACAGCCATGTGAGATGAAAGGCATTTCTTGTCCCAGGATGCCATTGTGGTAGCTGAAGACTGGAAAGTTCTTGATAAAATAGTCTGTCTTCACTTTCAGGTGAATCAGCTGTTTCTCGCCCTGCATAGATATCACATAAGATGCCTCTTCCTCTGGGTCTTGCCTTCCCTTAACTGTCAGAGCCTTGCGGATGACTGTTTCATAAGATGAGAAATATACTGACCCCAGGTCACAGCACAAGCTTGGCAGGAAACTCAGTACCACCACCAGCACAATCTCCAACCTGACACGTGAAGATCCTGGCAGCAGTACCAGTGCCAAGCCCTTCATCTGGGGAACCCAGGTCTGAAGCACTCTGCCAGTCTCATATATAACCTCTTGGTTCTTCTGTAAAGAAGGCAAGGAGGTTGCAGAGTCCCTCACAGAGGTGGCCCTTGACATGGTTCCAAAGGTGGCCACTGACATGGCTGATGCAAGGCCTGTGTCCTTGAGCAGAAGTGCTACTTGATATGCAGAACCTTAGGCTCTGGGATTAGGTCCAGGTATATGATGTCTGCATATAGGATGGGTATTACCTTCTTTTGAGAGCAACTGCTTACCTCTGTGTTATTTTTAGTCTCTCTGACCTCTGTTATCCTTCAGCCAGTGTTTTTTCTTTTATTTTCTACCACAGCATTGGCTTCAGTGATCCTTGGTGATAGTCCTTCTCATATTGTGGTGATGTATTCATGAAGGACTGCAAACTCTGAAATGAGGATTATACCTTGTCAGTGAAAGCAAATCCACTGTGCCTTTCTCAACTGTGCCATATCGAATACCTCCACCCCCCCCCCCATGTCACCCCTCCTGTGTCCGTTGCTCGGCCAACTCCTAATGTTCCAGACTAAGGGGCTTGGAGATCAGTGATGGGCACACTCCATTGCCCATTTCCCCTCTTCTAAAACTCATGCTCTGTGATACATGGGTATCAAACTCTCAATGTTTGTTCCCTCAATAAAGCTTTATAGTGATATGCATAGCTTTCAGGCCAGACTGTAGATAAGGCAAAAGGGTGGCTTCTCTATGCCCCAGATAGACCCAAATGGGCTTTTGATCATGAGTTACGGTACAATACTACAATTTTTTAACATCATCCAAATTCAGACTCTCGTGTTCTGTTTATAACATTGTTGAAAATGTGCATGAGAGATGCTAACAGGGCAGCTTTCTACTATGTGTGATTGTCATGGGCACATGGGCTGATAACTCTGCCCCCGGACCTTCTCTGAATGACCTTAACATATTGTTATCCTAAAATTATGCCAGTTGAAGACTAGATATCCCCGGTGTTAGAAAACGACCTACATGTATCCTGTGGCCACTTCTGTATTCATACAGGTTCAAAAGTAGATGAACCAGAGTTACTTATTTAATGAATAAATGACATGTGGTAGGTTCGTAATAGAGAGCAGCATTCATTTGTAAGGTGGTTGTTTCATTAGAGTCAATAAGGAAAAAGGTATGTTCTGGGCATGTAAGGACATATCAATTGTCTTTTGGTCACGTTTTTGTTTTTGAGTTTTTAACAAAAGGTAAAGACTCATGAGGCAGTAGACAAATACATCTAATTATACAGGATGGGATGGAGCTTCTACCTTTTACTAGCTCTACATCAAAACTCTTATATTTGTTTCCTTATATACAAGAGGATGGTCTAATAGGGTGAATGGAAGAGTTAAATTAAGACAGTGAACATATAGTGTTAGGATAGTGTCTTGCACAGAATTGAAAATGCTATTACTGTACAAGCCAGTTTGGCTCAGTGGATAGAGCGTCAGCCTGCAGACTCAAGGGTCCCAGGTTCAATTCTGGTCGGGGGCATGTACCTTGGTTGCGGTCACATCCCCCAGTGGGGGGTGTGCAAGAGGCAGCTGATCGATGATTCTCTCTCATCGATGTTTCTAACTCTCTATCCCTCTCTCTTCCTCTCTGTAAAATATCAATAAAATATATTTTTTTAAACAGAAAATGTTATTACTATACACTCTTTGTACTCTCCTTACAATTAAAAATCCTCCAATGCTTTATCCTTTTGGATTCAGTCAATAATATATTAATTTAATAATGGAAGTGAGAAATAAATATAAGATGTAAAGAAGAAAAAAAGGAAAAATGAATACTTCTAAACAGACTCAGCACTGCACAAGCTTGCCTCTTGCCTAGGTTGCTTACTCTCTCCCATGTACTTAGACACACAGTGATTACACCGCCCTGGGTCAGATAGAGTCCTTCCAGAGAGTCCCAAATCTAAAGTTTATAGGCCACAGAAAGCCTAAAATTATGCTTTATCTGAACACTGTTGTTTACATTTTAATTTAAAATCTTCACCCAGACCCTGTGGCTCAGTGGTTGAGTGTCAACCTATAAACCAGGAGGTCATGATTTAAATACTGGTCAGGGCACATGCCCAGGTTGTAGGCTCCATCTCTAATAGGGGGCATGCAGGAGGCAACAGATTAATGATTCCCTCTCATCATTGATGTTTCTATCTCTCTCTCTCTCTTCCTTCCTCTCTGAAATCCATAAAAATATATTTTAAAAATAATTTTACTTCATGAGTATACTTCTCCAGTTCAATTAGAACTACAAATCAAATAAACAATCTTCCTAATATAATGTGTAGTTGTGATTGGGATGAAAAACCTGGCACAGATATATATGTCAAAGAAAGAGTAAAAGGTAGCATTCTGAAAAACTGGTAACTCAAAAACTGGCTTACTAAGACATGACATTTTTAGGAATAATCCATGAGAATAGTTTATTTAAATGATTTCATGAAATGTAAAAATGGGAAAAATACTAAGATATTTTATAAGTGATGTCACATGTATATATAATTATTTATTAAAAACAGAAGAAAGTCCGCATCCCACATTAGTACATTTCTACAATATGTAGAGTCCTGATAAAGCCATTTCCACTGTCAATGCCCACTTCACATTTTCTCTCTCTGGCCTTTTCCCACCAGGTGTATGAAGTGCTTGCCAAAGGAGACTTCTTCCTATCACTACTCGTTTTCTGCCTTTCGGTTTTCCTCTCTTAATGCCTTCTTCATCTTCGTTTTCTTCTGGGGCCTCTTGTAAGTGCTGTGCTAAATCCCTTCCAGCCCCAACACTGACAATGATAATTAGAACAAAAAATAGTGCTAACAGAAAAAGAACAAGAAAGAAGCAAAAGAAAGGAAAAACTAGTATTAGTAAAAGAATTAGGGGGGTTGTGAACAATAATTGACTCCTGGTTTTGCTTTCATCGCCTCTGCAAAATTATCATGACCAAGACGATGATTATTTCTTTCATCCTCACTTGGATTTTCATTCTCTGTTTTGCCAGGAGAACTACTGTCCACACTACCCCCACTTCCTGGGATTCGGCAGTCCGGGGGTGCATAGTCAGCCTCACAGTGGCAGAGCCTTAAATTGTTACAGACTCCTCTTCCATTGCACATTTCTGCTGGTTTGCAGTCATACTTGAGCACAGCATGATCGGTGCAGGAGTAATCCATTCAGACTTCGTTTGGGGCACAAGCAGTGCCAGAGTGCACATCTCCCTCATGCCATTTATTGTGCCCTGAGGGGTCTGGGGTAAAAAGGAAGTTACAAGGTACCCAGACATCTCACAGATATGTTATCTTAGAGGCAAAAAGGCAAATGGGTTCAGTAAGGAAGATCTAAGTTGATCTTGTCAGAGAAAATATCTGCCTAGGACATGACTACCCACTATTACCTGTTTGTAGTTAAATATTTAATTTTCAAACCATCTTTTGTGGTTATTTTGGTCTCTGAGTTTGCAAGACTGCCATGCAGGCCTCCCCTGAGCTTCTCAGGTTAGCATGTGGAAGAAGATGGTATAATATAATAGGTTGAATGGGAGGGTTAAATGAAAAATAACTTAAAATGTTTAGAATAGTGTCTTGCACAGAATTGATAGTTATTATTTTACATGCTTTGTGATCTCCTTACAGACAATTATCCTCCAATGCTCTGTTCCTTTAGATTGTCAGTCATTGATATGTTAACTTAATAATGGAAATGAAAAATAGCCCTAGCCGGTTTAGCTCAATGGATAGCGCATCCACCCACAGACTGAAGAATGGCAGGTTGGATTTCATTCAAGGGGATGTACCTCAGTTATAGGCCCATCCCCGACCCTGGTCTCCCCATAATAGATGTATCTCTCTCACATCGATGTTTCTCACTCTTTCTCCCCATTCCTTCCACTCTCTAAAAATCAGTGGGGGGTAAAAACAGTGAAAAAAATTACTTCAGGTGAGGATTTACAAAAAAAAAAAAAAAATGGAAATGAGAAATAAATATAATACATAAACTAGAAAACCAGAATAAAAGGAAAAATGAGTACTTCCAACTAAACTTAGCACTGGACAAGCTTGCCTCTTGCCTAGGTTGCTTACACTCTCCCATGTATTTAGACACAGGGTGATCATACCATTCTGGATGAGATAGAGCCCTTGTAGAGAGTCCCAAATCTAAAGGAGACCTAGTCCATAGGCCACAAAAAGGAGATCTAGTTTATGTGCCTTATCTGAACACTGTTATTTACTTTTTTAAAAATATTTTTTTATTGATTCAGAGTTGAAAGCAAGGGAGAGAAAGAGAGAGAGAGAACCACTGGTTGACTGCCCCCGCCCCATATATCCCCCACTGGGGATCAAGCCCCAACTCTAGCATATACCTCGACCTAGAATCCAACCATGAACTCATGATTCATAGATTGACACTCAATCATTAAGCCACATGGACTAGATTATTTTCACTTGAAAATCTTTTTATTTAATGAATATATTTCACCAGTTAAATAAAAACAACAAACCAAAAAAACAACCTTCCTGACATAATGTGTAGTTGTGATTGGGATGAAAAACCTGAAACAGATATATATGTCAAACAAAGATGATTAGAAGGTGACATTCTCTAAAAAACTAGTAACTCAAAAATGTCCCAATTAAGATAAGACATTGATAGGAATGGTCCATGAGAAAAGATCATTTAAATGGTTTCATGAAATGTGAAAATGGGAAAAAGTCTTGAAATGATTTCACATATACATACATAACTAATTAGTAAAAGACAGGACAAGAAAATCATCCCTCCTCCCACATTAGTACATTTCTACAATCTTGAGTCCTGATCAGAGCCACTGCCGCTGTCAATACCCACTTCACATTTGCTCCACTGACCCTCCTTCCATCAAGTTTATGAAGTGTTTGCTATAGAAGACTTCTTCCTGTTACTACTAATTTTCTGCTTTTGGTATTTTCTGCTTAATGCCATCGTTCTGTTGTTCTGTAGCTGCTTTTCCATTTTCTTTTGGAGCCTCATGTGACCGTGGAAAATAATGCATTCCAGCCCTAATACCCGCACCAAGAAATAGACAACTAAGCATAG